GCATCCGATAAGATATTTATTGATTTTGTTGTGTGTATTGCAAACAAATTGATTCTAATGTACAGTATTTGGCTTTAAATACAGAAAATAACTTTAATTGGATTTTATCACAAATTGTGCTTTCATTCAATGTTTGATGCATTCAATTTCACACTCAATTAATGTTTCACAATTCAAAATAAAAGAAAACAAGTAAATTATAATTTATAATATCAAGGATATTCAATTATTTTTTTTATAAATATTTGCCAAAAATGTCTAATCTTAAAGATAATGTTAATTTGAATAAACCCTTTGTAATTCATTGGCTAAATAACAGTATTTATTCCAAGAAAAGTTATACCTTACAAATACAATATAATTTATTATACCGATATTTTAATAATGATTCACTTAGTATATGAAATATTGGATTAATACTATTATCTGTAAATTTTCGTCATACAGTATCAACAAACTTGTCAATGGGATAGTTAAATAATTTATAAACTAATTATCTGTAATCGATATATTACCACACGTGCAGCCCTTACAGTACTTAACAGTTAGAAAATTACGCACACATTGTGTTGTCATTTGATAGCTATTTTAATTTATAAAAATTTATTTTATTCCAAGTATTAATAATTTCTTGTTTATTATTTAAACTTTATAATAAATTTTCTAACACTTATAAAGTTTTAGTTCATTAAATATCCTGCAAAATAGTGTTAATAATTGCAATCAAATATTTACTGTTATTTAAAAACTATTAAATTTGCTTTATAACTAGTTTATTGAATATTTCAGTAGCTTATTAAATAATAAATAACTTTGTATCAAAAATAAGTAAGAAAGTCTTATTGAGATTAAAATTTTCTACATTAAAAATTAATTTCAATATCTTCAATAAGTGCTTAATTGTTATATAGAGAGAGTATTAATTAGAGTAGATTTGAAGATATTATTAAAAGATATTAAAATATTTTAAGTATTTTTCACTGAATCTCTCTCTGATTTATCTCTCTCCGATGATTTGAAGTAAATCCTATAAAAGGCTTTCAAAGTGAATGAAATTTTTAATATCATACCGTCTATAAGTGTTTGATACTTAAAAGTGAACTGTTCATTTATTTTATATAATCGATTCAATAACTGATAGCTTTATTGTTGAGAAACTTCTTAAGAGTTGATAAATTTCTGCTTCAGACGTAATATTGTACTGATTTGTGTGCAAAGTGTTGAAGTCTTTGTAAAAATTAATTTTAACAAAAATAAATTCAAAAAATGAAATTTATTTGTGTTAATAAAGTGGAAGAAAATGATGCAAATTATTGGAAATCATTGTTTCGGGAAGTATTGGCAGAGTTTATGGGAACTTTTATGTTGATTGTAAGATAAAGTTTTATTTGAAAAAATATTTTAAAACTAAAGTTTATATAAATGAAAATTAGCTGATCGGCTGTTCGGCAGGAGTGGCCACACAGTCTAATCCAAAAAATGAGCCAAATTTTAAAGTAGACATTTGGGCCGTTAATATTTGCTGGGGTTTTGGAGCTTTCGTTGGGATTGCGGCCACTTTTAATATAACTGGTACACTTTGATTTTATTAAATTTGTTATTAGTGTTGATTTGTAATGTTTATTTATAATTTTAAAAATGTTTTATTCTCCTTAAAGGTGGTCACATAAATCCCGCCGTTTCGGGTAAGTCTATTATATTAATAGATTAAATAAAAATTGAAGTACAGTATAAATAAATTGTAATATGTAGTCGCAATGGCAACAATTGGTAAATTCCCGTGGAAAAAAGTAATGCCATACATCATGGCTCAAATGGTCGGTGCAATACTCGGTAAGGAATGAAATGTTTGATTATTTGTGATTCATTTGCTAACTAACAGTAAATGCCATTATAGGCACAGCCGTTGCATATTATGCTTACATCGATGTCATTGACTTACAAAACGATCACATTTTGATAAGGAATGACACCCGACTTATAACATATGGCCATTACTTAAGTACCGGCAAATTCTTTGCCACATATCCGCAAGAATATGTCTCTTTATTTGGCTCCATTGTGGATCAAGTATGTGATAATCTTAATGAATGGTCAAAGTTATCTACATTTTATAATACTGTTTGTATAGGTTGTGGGAACGGCTTCTCTCCTGTTTGCTGTGTCTGCAGTAACTGACGAGAAAAATCTGAATATTCCGAAAGCTTTACAACCATTTTGTTTGGCATTTGTGATCGCATGTCATGCCATAGCCTTCGGTGGCAATGAAGGCGCACCACTAAATCCGGCCCGAGATTTAGGCCCCAGAATATTCTCTGCAATGGTTGTCTACGGGAAAGAGGCCTTCACGTAAGAATTGTGTCATACAGTTGCCAATTATAGTAACATTACATTTATAACATTACAGAGCATTGGACGGAAACTACTGGTGGTCGGGAGGCATTGTTGGGCCCATAATTGGAGCCATAGTAGGAGTTTGGACTTACTTTCTGTTTATTGATTTACCAAAACCTAAAGATAAATGCGATAACGATATGAACTCAAACGTCGAAAGTATACCTCAAAGAAATATAAATTCAATTTACTCTCTGAACGCAGATTTGGACAGAAATCATCATATGATTAAGGCTCAGGTCTAGTCTATCGTATATACAAATTGCATAATAAGTCAATAATAATTTCATTTTTACTTGATTTCAATCTCACTACAAGAATATGCGTTTGAAAAGTGAATATATTATTAATAAATTAATTAGAGTCACAATCAGTGCTACTCAATAGGAAATGTCATTTTCATTGATAATTGATTTGATGTTTAAACTTCTGTAAATGATTAGTTACTAAAATACGTCAAATATTCAGTACTGATACAATTATTGTGTAGTAAATGAATTGATAATCAATCCATTGATGATTTATATTAGACTCGGAAGTGACACAAATATTTGAGATCTAAATGACGCTATTCTTAAAGATATGCATAAATCATACATTTAATTATCATTTATTACTTGAATTAAACTATTTTTCTAACTTATTTATTTATCAGTAAAACATAAATTTTGTTTATTTCCTGGAATATTAATATAGGTTTATATAGAAAAATGTTTTTATTCATGAATTTAGTATTTAATAATTTGGTGTCCATTTCATTAAATATTTGATTTGCATAAAAATATTTTACTTAATTATTTTATAAATAATTTTGTTTATAAATACTATGTATTTTTATATAATTCACATTTGATTAAATATTATTTTATTATCAACACAACTATACTAGTGAAAATCATTACTATTATTCTATAATATTACTAACTATTACTATTATATTATATAATAAGTTACTTGTTTGATTGTATGTTTGATTATATATTTAGTTTTCAAAACATACAATATAGTGCTAAAGAATCGGCAAATCTTTTAAGTGCTTTTGATGACAACTAACTCTATAAAAAGATATATAACAGACATAAACATTAAGTTTTAATTCAAAAATAAACTGTTTGTCGTGTTTGCCATCAGATGTGAACGTAATCTCGCGTCCAATAGTCTGACGGAAAAGTTTGTCTTTACTTCTAGAAAACAACAACAAATTCATTCAATCATTCATTTAAGACAACAATTCTGGAAAATATAATATCTTTACAGTTATACTGAAAATATAATATACTAAAAGTTTATCTAATTAAATATTAAATTAATATGTTGTATAATATTTATTTCTAATAAGTATACTAGTAGAATTTGTGTTATAAATAACAATTATTGTACAATAGTCAATTTGAAACTTGGTCATTCTTGAATTCCTAACTCCTGTTCCCCTAACCCTCAAATATATTATCAATTTCACTCACTATTCATTTCTAATGCTTAAGTTTTTATTTTACTGAAAATTATATAAAATTCTAGTTTAGATTAAAAATAACGAGTAAAACTTTAATTTGCATAATAAATATTGACCAGAATTGTGCATAATTAGCATAATTAGTATAATTTTGAGTTTACAAATGAATACTCTCTCTAAAAGCACTCTAAAGGATAAAATAATGCATTATTTTAATTGCTGTAAACTTTAATACTTAAAATACATTATCAATTGACGCCTAATTTGAAATTTCACATCATTTATTCTTCTAAATGTCCATTATGTCAAATTACCATGCTACATTACATTGGATTATTACCATGCTACATTACATTGGATTGTTTGGCTTAAAACTCTATAGAAATTAATTAAAATGAAGTAAAAGAAACAAGCTAGATCTAAAAATACTGTGCATATATTATGACAATTTTTATGGTTATTTATGATGAATACTGACGATTAGAAATCAATATTAACTATAGTTATGAAGTGATGGAAGTGTTAAAAGTGATCAATAAGTGTGACAAATGAGTGAAGTTATGACTCATAGACTCAATGAGTGAACAGCGATGAGAGCGCCACTCGACGGACACATGACTTACAAGACATACTTTACTCAGGGAATGGTTGAGGTGTTGGCCACCAGTGGCTCTCGAGTAGTGAACCTATAGAGTGACAGTGAATGAGAGACTGTGGCAGACATTTGTGACAACATTGGATCCATTGAACCATTGAAGCTCATATATGATTAGATGAGTGAACAAATGGCTGACAGGAGGGCAGAGTTGGAGAAGAAGAAACTGAAATTACAGCAATTGAGAGATGAGAAGGAGAGACGCAAACGGGAGAAACAGTCACAAGAAGCCGATCACACCGATGGCCACCGATCTGCCAAAGACCTCGAGGAGGTGGACAACATCCTCAAGTCGGTCGGCATTATTGCACCACAAACTGGTATTACCACCGAATGACTCATTAGTAGTGCAATGGTCTTAACGGGTGATTGCATTGACAGATCAATCGGTGGTCGGATCCGTATTGAATAAGTCATTGGGCGGTGACTCGAGTCCCGCCGCCGCCAAAGACAGTACTCCTGTGTCCACACATTCAGTGCCCGTCGAGAGGAAGAGCTTTTCGATCGTAAACCTAAACCAGACATCGATTGCCCCCAAAGAGAGCGTTACGTATGAAAAGCAGACGCAAACCATTGGACACAACACCGAAAGAGGAGGTATTGATTGTCTCCTTGTCTTGAATGTTGTCCTCAACTCTAACACCTCTTTCCATAATCTCTTTGACTAATGACTCTTAAGCACCGTTTGATTCTCCGTTTGGAAATCAAAAATCCAAAAAAGGTTTCTATTGTTTCACTCTTTAATTGATTCTTTGATTGTCACCAAAACTAATCCGTTCTTAATTGGTTTGTCCCAACAGGCGGTCCACTCGACTATTACGGTATGTATCTATTGACACGTTTTTAATATGGTTTTAATTTAATGATTGATTGATTAAACAAACACTAAACCAATGCTTTGCTTCCGATTACACACACTATTAATGTCTAAAAACAGATAATTGTCTTCATATGAGAACTAATTTCACTCTCTTTTCACACTCTCTTAACTCTAACACCAAAAGTGATTCATTGGGACGAAGGTATGAATGCCTTTGATTTGAGTCTATTTTAATTACGATTAGACCAAAAACCATGTATTGAATTGAAATTTAAGATTTGATTATTGAATAGATTTTGATAATAGCTTAGAGCCTATGATAATGATAATCGAGATGTGGTTCCAGTTGTCCCATACTTTTACAATATTTTTTATTTTTCTTCCATTCGATTCAAATGATTTCGTGTCATTAAAAAAGATAATTTTCATGTCTTAGAATGGGATGACGAGTTCCAAGGTATGTGTCCGCTTGACATTCGCTCTTTCGCTTAACTTTTGGTTCTGTTTCTCATATGCGGTCCTCTCTTCTTGTGTCCAGTTTTTGCATGTTTTGCACATTCGCTTCGTTTTTGGTTTCTCTAATCATTCAGATTTAGGTCTCAATTAAACTATGATTTATTGAATGGAAGGAAGCGTTATGTTATGATTTCAGTATTGAATTCGTCGGGTCTTTAATCGCATATAACATGAATTGTTTGCTTTGTTTCAGTCCTCACGTACGACGATAACGAGGATGAAGGCGACGGCTCTCTCTTTGGCTCCTATAATAATAAGCCAAACCTACCGCACGTCGAAATGGTTAGACCGGCGCAGACACAGCAGGAGCTCACCAAAGAAGAAGACAAAGCAAAGCCTGTGAAGAGAGAGTATAGCGATGAGGAGAAGCGACACATTATGATGAGCGAGGAGTTCAAGAAGTTTCTCGATCGGGCCGTTAGGGTCACCGAAAGAGCTCTTTATTACAACGAACCCTCGGATATATTCATTGACTACACGGGCACTCGTGAGGAACTGGAGAAGTATGTTCTCAATGTTTCCCATACACTGTATTGTAATCACGAGATCTTGTTTTATAGTGAAGACAAGAGTGGGAATCGTTTGGTATTCAACCGATGTTTTTATGACGAGCGGTGGTGTAAGAATCGGACCATAACTTCATTTGATTGGTCGACTCAATACCCGGAGCTATTGGTTGCCTCATATAATAACAATGAGGACAACCCTAACGAACCGGACGGTGTGTGCCTTATTTGGAACATGAAGTTCAAGAAGTCCAGTCCGGAGTACATATTCCACTGTCAGTCGCCGGTTATGTCCACGTGTTTCGCCAAATTTCATCCCAACCTAATACTCGGCGGCACTTATTCCGGACAAATAGTTCTTTGGGACAACCGCTCCAATAAGAGAACACCCGTCCAAAGGAGTCCTCTGTCTGCCTCAGCCCACACACACCCTGTCTATTGCATACAAGTGGTCGGAACACCTAATTCACATAATGTGATCAGTGTATCGACTGATGGAAAGCTGTGTTCCTGGAGTTTAGACATGTTATCCCAACCTCAGGACACTATGGAATTGAGTCAACAGAAACAGTCGCGACCGGTGGCGGTGTCTTCCATGTCGTTCCCATTCGGCGATTACAATAACTTCATAATTGGCAGCGAAGAGGGGTCGGTGTATACGGCGTGTCGTCACGGAACCAAAGCTGGAATACTGGATGTGTTTGAGGGCCATCAGGGGCCGGTCACAGCTGTTGACTGTCATTCAGCGCACTCGCAGATCGACTTCTCCCATCTGTTCCTCACGTCGTCCTTCGACTGGACACTGAAGTTATGGTCGACTAAGGAAAGCAAACCCTTGTATTCGTTTGAAGACAATTGTGATTATTTATATGACGTACGATGGAGTCCAACACATCCGGCGCTGTTCGCCAGTGTCGATGGCATCGGAAGAATAGACTTATGGAATCTAAATAACGACACAGAATTGCCCACCGCTTCCACTATAGTGGACGGCAATCCAGCCCTTAATCGCATCGTTTGGAACAACTCTGGCAATCAAGTGGTAGTCGGCGACGACGCCGGCAAGATATGGGTCTACGATGTGGGAGAGGTATGTCATGCCTGTTCTATTGTGGTCAGCGTTTCAGTATTTGTAACCTTTATTGTCTTATTTAACAGCAATTATCTGCACCAAAAGGGGACGAATGGACGAGATTTATGCATACACTGCAAGAACTCAAGAATAACGCCGAACCCGAGACAGGAGACTACGGCTCAGACACCGCTTATTCAAGTTTGTCTTCGGCCGCATCCCTCTCTGCTTTTTCTTCACCTCCCGTTCGCTAATATTATTGATTTAATTTTCAAACCATTGTTTTTTAATTTAATAGTATATTTAATAATAATAATAAAGTATTTATATTTTACATATTTTTTAATTAACGAGTTATTCAGTTATAATACGGAACTCTTAGATCCGTTACGAACTTCCTATCAGTCACTATAGTATTCAAATATATCTCTCAAATTGTTTCAATAGTTATGTAATTATTTTCATTGATTAACTTCTATACCAGGAAAGCGGAGTTACACTGAATTATAACTATTTATAAACTATTCTACAAACTAATGCCTCATAAGATGATTATACCAACACTTTTCTGTAGAAATACTGTAAGTTGAGAAACAAATGAATTGCCAAAAGTTGTGCCAACGCTTAGCATTGATATGCACTTGAAGTCTAAATACAGTAATAGAGTCGATGTTATCGAGTCTACTGTGGTATTAGTTCGACAAACTTATCACTTATTAAATAATGTACGGTATATACAGTACTATATAACTTGAATATTATTTTACATGTACAGTATAACCATTAGATATGCGTTCAAATCGTTTGAGTCATTAGTAAAAAGTAGATGTAATTCAATGAAATGACAACAAAAGTGCATTCAAAACAAACAATTGATCCAGACCAGTTAACACAAACATAATTGAAAATAACCGACAGATTCCCTGTGACGGGAACGGGTTTATTGTATGTTTAAATACAGTTCGTTAATAGCCCTGATAAGTGTATAATTTATGATTTCATTTCTATGTAATTGTCTTTTCATATCATTAATGATTTCAAAAAAATTTAATTCCCAGAAAAGGTGCCAAAAATATCCGTAAAACTACACTTCATTTCTATCACTAATATTTAGCACTTACTCTAAACTTCTTAACTCTTTCTTAACAATCATTCAATCGTTTGCAAAAAAAAGTTACAAATTTGAGGACAAGGAGGACATGGTTTGGATCAATAGATTAGCAAAAAAAAGTTGGTTTTCATTTAGAAATAATGGTTGCGTTTAGCGTATGATGTAATGGTATAACATGTACAGTATTAACCATTACTAATCACTATCTATAGTATTAATAATTATGTAATTTTATCATTCAGTCAAACATTTTAGTTTAGGTTTAGACCGGTTTTGCATTCAATTGATTGCAATATGAGGTCACATATCACTGTCAATGCATTTCATATCAATTCAATTCACTATTTCTCACATCTATTAGTTGCTAAAAAGGGTTACATAAGCGCACCACCGGTGCCTCCCGTGCCTCATAATGGGCCCCCTTTTGCCCCCTTTCCCCTCCACGCTATAGCTATGCATTGAGGCCTACGGTTATGTTAAGCGAAGTCCAATGAGTGTTGTAATACCCTATCAAACGCTATCAGCAAACACTCGCTACACACAAACTCCATCACTCTTTCTAACACATTTCAGTGCAATCGAGCGCTGCATTAGTGCCCCCCGACTGCCCCCTCTAGACGGCTGCACCCAAACTCTTTGTCTAGAAACCAATGCCACTCGTAATCCGCGTCCTGTTTATGCTCAGCCCACCCCCAATGGTGTAATGCTATGTGTGACGGGAGTGCAGTGTAGAGTGTATTTGATGTTTGATTGCATTGTGTGTAAAGGAAATCAATACAAGAGTTGATTCAACACTCAATTCAACACATTTTACATTGGATTTGGTTTTCACTTAATTCTCATTCAAACATGTATTCAAATTACAGTCAAATTTGTTGCTAAACTCATCGACAACACCATCTCTTAAGCCATTTGTGGCCATCACTCCACTCACACAACACATCACTATTGAGTGCATTCACGAAGAAATCACTTTTTGTATCAAATATTTTATTCAATTTATTTCATTTGTCTTCAACTCTATTGTGATTGTGTTTGTCTTGTGAACCATCACTTGAATCGGTTCCCATATATCATCGGTTGATAGTGAGGTGGAGGTTGTGGTCAAAGAGACTACAAAAACGAGAGTAATCTACAAATGGGTTACGATTTGTCGCGATTTGAGTCGGAAGTGGACGACGAGCTGAAGTGTCCCGTAAGTGTCGATCACTACCATCGATGTGGTGGTACTGATAGCTACTAATGGTATGCCTATTGTTTCAATGAATAGATCTGCTGTTCAGTGCTGGAGGAGGCAGTCCAGGCGCCCGACTGCGAGCATACGTTTTGCAACGATTGCATCAATGAATGGCTTCAGCGGCAGACCAACTGTCCGGTGGATCGCCAGCCCCTCAACTCGACTGATCTGAAGCCAGCGCCACGAGTGCTCCGCAACTTTTTGGCCAAATTGGACATCAAATGCGAATACGGTTTGAATTATTGCTTAATTTCTTTGCTATTATCTCTTAATTGGTATTTTATTTTAATTAAATCTTGACTCAAATATTGATTTCACGGTTTTTATTACAAATATTAATTTTATTCAATGAATTGGCGTTTAGTTAAGAGTTAGTTGGACTCAATATGCAGTAGAGTTGCCATTGATTTGAGTGCAAATAGCGTTGATCTCATAATAAGCATACCGTAAGACAGACAAAGGCAGGGGTTCTGTGATTATCGCTATAATCTATAGTGAATGCGAAATAGGATGAGATATAAACCCATTTACTGGACAACCAGTGCTTTGTATTAAACAATTGATATATTGTCTAAAAATAAGGCAAAACTCTATAGCACTGTAAGGGCGATGCGTTTCCCCAAACCTGTGTCTAATTATCTTTTCTTTTATCACATAATGTCTAATAAAAAGCATTTGTTTTGCAATTCATTGAAAGAGTATTTTTATTATGAGATAATTGCAAACAATAATTGTTTTGAGTAAATGACAAATGTTTTTGAATGAAAAGTTATTTTATTAGATACACACATAATGCCTATTTTGGCATTTCTATATAAAATATCGTATTTTTTATTTGAACTCAATTTATGCTCACAATTGAATGAATGGGTGAACCCTTTGATTGATTATTTATAGCGAGCTTTGGCTGCAATTGTGTAATAAAACTGGAATTATTGCAAACCCATTGCAATGAATGTGATTTCAATCCATACAAACCGATTATCTGTGAGAAGGGTTGTGGACTGATTCTGCTCCGGAATCAAGTGGAAGAACACAACTGTTTGTCTGATTTGCGGGAATTAGTGAATACACAGCAGAAGCAGATCAATGAGCTGAAGAACTGCAAGCGTATACACGAGGAACAGATCAATGAACTGAAGAACTCGAAGAAGCTTCACGACGAGAACATCAGTGAACACGAGAGACAATTCATTCAACTCAACGATCAGATCAATCGTCTGCAGCACACGTTAGAACAGATCCAAAAGCAATACGAGACCAATGATGACGACGACGATGACTGCTATGTCTCCAAAGGGCACGGCATCGGACGCAAGAGACCGTCGACCAGCACTTGGAAAGACATTCCCATCAAACGAAACAAAGACATGTGTGTGTCGTTGAGTGACTCGCAATCGCACCAACACTTCCACCATTTGCATCAATTCCCACATTCACCACATCCTCACTGTTCGTCTTCGCTGTCCACGGCTTGTGTCGGCTCACAGACGAGTGAACACAAGAGTCTGAACATTACTTTCTACGGCACAGTCATCACAGTGGAAGTGCTCACAATTGACACCATAGAGAGCGTGAAGGCCAAGATTGACACAATGGAAGCCATTCCTACTGACCAACAGCTCCTCTTCTTCGCCGGATTACAACTCGAAGACCACAAGACTTTGAGTTATTATAATATTCATAAGGAATCTCTCAGACATCTGGTCCTTAGGCTCAGGGATGGGATGAAGATATTTGTGAAGACGCTGTCAAATAAGACAATTGAAGTACAGGTGGATCCGAGCGAAACCATCGAAATAGTGAAGGTTAAGATCCACGAACAGGAGGGCATCTCTCCATGCGATCAGCGCCTCCTTATGGAGGGCCGAGATTTGGCTGATTTGCGTACTTTAAGTGATTACGGCATTAAACACAACTCCACACTTCAGTTGGATCTTCATTTGGGAGGTCCCTGTCCTATATGTCAGTCACAATTCAAGAGCAGCACCAGTGCTCCCAGCCCTACCAGTGGTGGACCACAATCGCATCGAAGTACTGCCAGTGATATCAGTGACTAATTAGTTGTATATTTGATTGTATAGTATATGAACTTAAACTTCACACCAATAATGCATACAATATTTGGGAAGCACTCCATCACTACATCTCTGTTCGACATTCAGGTATCCATTCATTTGTGATCTATTTCTATACATAATTTTATTTTCAATAACTTTTAACTTATTTTTAATTAAATATCCACTTTAATTAATTGTAACGATCACAAGCCTATAGTAATCGAGATTTACCTGAGTTTTTGTATTGATTTTTGTTTCTATTCAAGTGTAGTATTGCTTCTAATTTTAGACCACTATTTATGTAAACAATTATTTATATATTATATGATTATTATTTGGCCTTAAAGTATACCCAACCCTTGAAACAGCTTTAAATGAATATAGAGTTTTGACATTAACACTTAGGTTCACATTAAAAATAATGTAATTAATTGAATAAAAAATTTAATTGAATTAAATTACAGAAACTGTGTCTATTTTCTTTCAAATACTAAACTCATTATAGTTTGTCAAATATTGACAAAATAAAGCAATAATAAAATGTTTGACATTTACAGCAATAAGACTGTTGTATCCTCTCATCCATTAATGTCTATAAATTGCCAAAAGTTTCCTTTAGATTTAGCCCTAGATTTACGAAAAGGGAAACAATATTTTTAAAATAACTGACAATAAAAATTTGCTGTTAAGTCTACAGATTTTCAATTTTAATATATTTATTGATATGAAATGGTTACGGTATTGGAGATAATGTTTTTTACGAAAGCTTACTCATGATTAATGATTAATTATGAAAAACGATACACTTTTGATATTTTCATTTAATCAACATTTTCGCACTCAAAAGAGCACTATATTTATCTTTGAACCACTTTTTATCAAAATTTTTTATAACAAATATAACAAAAATTAAAAAAATTGTAATCTAATAATAGCAAAATAACACCTATTTATTATATGTGGCCTAAAATATTTTATATTTGGTCGGTTTTATGTTATTTTTATTAATAACTTATGTAATAGACTAATGGTGTGATTGATTCATATATTTTTGGGCAATTAATTAAAATTTATCCGATAATTAATTTATATAATTGGTCTACAATGGGACGTACGGTTACTGCAAACACTTATATCTCTATCTAATTTTACATGAATAAAATGGTAAACAATAACATGAATTGAATTTAAAAATATATTGAAAAACTTATGAATTTTTATTCATTTAATATATTTAGATATATAACAGTAAACAATTTATTCATATTAAGATAACAAAACATTAATGTGTTTTAACTACAGTATAATATGACATGAGACTATTGACATGAAATTCATAAATATATTATATTATGCAGTAATTGGAGTTCATTAAAAGTCTATATTATAGGCAAATGTGATTTTCATAGAGTGCTGTATTGGGATTGGGATTGGCTTTGAGAGACAATCAGATGCTTGTGATAAGACTTATCAGATAAGTAATGAGTCTATCATAACATTTATATTTGTGTCTAATATTTAGGTTGTCTTCGACTCATTAGTAAAGCTATGCATTGAATATAATTAGTAGCATATAATGCAATCATAGTTAATATTGTTTTTCCTAATATTTTATTCATTTTATAAATTGTTGAATTTTTTGGTTATATGGAAACAATAACATTAGCATTAAATTTCAAATATTCAACGTTTGTTGACATTTAATTTTTTTGTTTATATTGAAAGACAAGATTAGGTCTAATTGTATTAATTAGAAAAATTTACCAAAATTCTAGTCATTTAATATTCCCCATTTTAAATTAAATTAATTAAATTATTTACTATAAAATGCTTTCTCAGTGAAACTTTTATTAATATTTTCTAAGCACTCCAATGTTTGGTGCACTGTATTGTACTATACTATACAGTATAGTTCATCATAATTTAATTGTCTTAGTATTTTTTAAAATATAAAAATATAAATAGAATCAATGTTTATAGCTCTATACTATTTTTAGCAATTTGGTCTGTTATTATAGGCCATAACTTTATTTGATACAAAAAATAATTTAAAAATCACAAATTGTTTTATCGACGATAGATAATGGTTTGATTGCATTTGAAATGATTTCTTCCTTTTCCTTTAAATTTCCGAAATATTTCCAAATGAATGCAATTTCGAGACATGCATTCATTTTGAGACCGTT